TTATTTCCATGCGGTGATATTTCTCTGGCATCTTTGCATGAAATGTATATATCCCAACAAGTTCGTATTTCATTGTGATCATAATATTCATATTTCTTTGACATTTTCTCTGCAAAGATTCGACAGTAAATCAATAGAAAGATCAACCAATTGCTGTACTTTACTGTTGTAAGTGTATTTATTTAGGTTGTACTTGTTTACTTATCATTTTAAAATCAAATGTAATTAAACATAGATAATATAATTATACAATGTAATTCTATTAAGTAATACAAAAAATGAGAGTACTTTTGTAATTGGCTTTTTATTTCACACAACATGGAGACTAATCAATTAACATTTAATTTGTATTTTGCTATAAAACCTTTTTTGAAGGGATATCAATACGTATCACATTTTGCAAATAAATATAAACTATGTACATATGCATTACATAATTATCTTTTTTGGCAAGTTGCCATCCTGAAGATGAATGCAATATATATCGCTAAACTTTAACCAGTAATAAATCAACCAATCGAAAATATCATTGTAAGTTTTGTCCTGGGTTCTGCTATTCTGTACGAAAGACGGTTGGAAAATTGTGTTGTTAAAATTTCTCATTTTAAATTTGACATTTCTCATTTCCCAATTGACATTTCTCAGTTCCCATGCAGTTGGTATTTCTTAGTTCCAAGTTGATGTTTCTCAATTCCAAGTTGAAATTTTTCAGTTCCGATTTGACATTTCGCACTTCCGACTTGACAGTTCCAAATTTATCCCCAAATGGTCCTAGTTTTTTGTTGGGTTCGTGTTGCTCAGTCTTTGGATTAAACTAGGGAATGTCAAGATAGAAGAAAGAAATGTCGAAATAAGAAATTTTAAAGATAGAATGTGGCTACCAGTCTTTCATAAATCTGTTATTCTAATCAAGTCAGATAGGAACAGTCAAATAATTTCCGGAAAAAATAATCGAATCAAACTAACGGATGGATGAATGGATGGCTTTTTAACGTCCAGTTGCAAATTACATATATACTCAGGACGAGAACATGATCGCCTTCAACAATGAGAAAATCCATACTGTACAGTCGGGTATAAAAGGCCCCGAAAAGAAAAATGTGAAACAAGTCTAACGATAAAAACTACAGCCGACTGTATAACAAAACAATTTATGAAAAGTAAATATGACAGACATGAATTAACGAAAATCATTGTACTACGGGCTCCTAACTTGGAATGCAAGTCAAATAAGGCACATAAGAATGTGGCGAGGTAAAACATATTTGTGAGCGCTCAATCCTCCCTCTAACCTAGGACAGTGGTGCAACAACACAACAAAAGAACAAACTGTAAAATCAGTTGCAATTGGCTTACCTCAAAAGATCGGTACGAGGCACAAAAAACAATTAACATATAAACAATATACACAAAGCACCGAAATAAGATTACTCGCGACAGTTACTGAAAGCTAGTTGCATTATACTAGACCGACACGACGAGCCAGATTTTTAACATGCTAGTTCCCAAGTTAAAACAATCCGGAGGAAGACATGTCACCATACCAGGACACATTAATATTCTGACTCCGAGCCAACAAGTCTTTTCTCATACTCCTAAATGCAATGCCGGATAAAGTATAAGATAAATATGGTCAACTGCACAAAGTCATGGTGGCAAGCAATCCTACCAGTATGATAGTTTTTTATCAAGCGGTATCAGAGGAGTTTCATTCACAAGGAGGCATTGTGGTAGGATATTCAAAAATCACATATTCCTAAACTTCCGTGAAAATGATCAAATCGAAATGACGGTATAATAAGGCCAACAACATATGCTGGCAAATAATCCTATTACATGTAAGTATGACAGATTTATTTCAAAATGGTTTAAGAGAAGAAGATTTTTTTTAAGCCTTTTTCATTCTTCATTTAAGTTGGAAGAATCTCCACTACTTTTTTGTCGTATAAACGCACATGGGCTACTTTCTTTATTTCCTCCCACATGGTTGTTCAGTGTAAATTATTATACAGACTATATAGCGAATACGGGAGGCAAACAAACTGTTGTTCGCGAGAAGAACTTCGTTGTGGCCTTTGCTAGTAATCACTGTCCATCAAAGAAGGTCAATGCAAATATCGCAATTTGATATTGCATTTCGTTTAATAGGATAATATGATGTTATCGGTCTCTGTTCGATGGGATTCGAAAAAATCTCTTCATGTGGTAAAATTAATAGATAACAGAAAATATTATGTTAAGAACATATACATTGTTTGTAGCGTTAATCTGTAAATAACAAAACAAAGAGTAATATTTTAAGATGCTAGGGCCTTACAGTTCGATTTGAATGTTTCAGCTAAGCGCCTAACCTTTTAAATTAATATTTCCATATGAAGAATCGGTATTCAAGCTCTGTTGGATAATATCGCACATTTTTTCTTCGTTGTCTAAGGGTATCTATCTCATATCTGTGTTTGCATGGTTTGTCCGACTTAGAGAAACATATCCATCCTTGATCGATTTTTTTTTTCTGTAAAGGACATTTTAATTTTGTTTCAATATCTGAAGGCAAAACCTAAATATTCTTAAGATTTCTTAAGGAACGCAATGTTACGCGATACCGGAGTCTGTATTTTGAAGATTATTGCATAATGTACTTCATAGATAATTAGTATTGAATTGCAGCTTGATACGACCGCAGTATGGACACAACATTTAAGCCTGATACAGCTCCGAATTTGGATTGTCATTAAATATTTTACACAGCATAGGTTTCTGACAAAGAATGAATGTGGTCTAAGAACTTAAAAAATTGAAATTGGATGTTTACCTATTATGATCAAATATCCAAAATCTAATCAGCTTATCGAAGAACCCCAAGAATTCAATGTTTGATGAAAGGAAACAATTTTAATTTTGGACCCTTTGGACCACAATGTTGACCAATTTGATAACATGGTTCAAAATCTAAAATCAAAATAAACGGTTTGATTCAGCATATCAAAGAACCCGTATATTCAATTTTTGTTGAAATCAAACAAAGATTAATTTTGGACCTCTATTTGGACCAATTTGAAAACTGGCAAAAAAAACAAAAATAAAAATATACATGTATGTTTAGATTCAGCATTTCGAAGAACCGCAAGAATTCAATTTTTGTTAAAATCAAACTAAGTTTAATTTTGGACCCTTTGGGGCTTAATGTGGACCAATTTGAAAATGAGGCCCAAAATTATAAATATAAATACACAGCTAGATCAGGCATATTAAAGAAACCCTTATAATTAAATAGGCCCTTTCGGCCTCAAAATATAGCATTTTTGTTAAAATGTAAACTTTTAGATATCCATTGGAAATTTTAAAGTAGAATACTTTTGCTACATAAATATTGGCTGTTTTTTAACAATACAATGCACATGCATCAGATACTAGCATCATTAATTCCTAAAAAAATTACTGACATCTTCGCAGTTTTAACATTTGTGCTATTTTTTACGGTTCTGTCCTCGTTGGTGAGCAAGGGACTTAGACTTATGGAAGGAGTAATTGTAAATAGGTAAATAAATAGATATTAGTTAAATAAATAATTATAATCTACACGTATTTACCCAAGTTTACCTGTAAAATGAATGCGCGCAAATGTAATCAAAAGTTGCGCGTACACGTAATGATATTTGCGAGCAAATGTATTGATATTTGCGTGCAAATGTTATGCACCGGACATACATCCCGATAAGACAAGCAACAACTCTTGTCGGTAGTTGTATCCCACAGAAAGAGAAACTGAAGCTTATGTATACATTCAGTGGAACCATCAGGGTGACTTTTCAACAAAAATATGTCTTAAGTAGAGCTACATTTGTACATGTATTTATTGTCTATGAGATCAATATTAGATTTTAGGTATATTAAATATGCTGTATGAGATCAATATTTGGTTCAGGTATATTATATATGTGCATTGATGTCAAAATTGTAGAAGATCTAGAACTTGCATATCTTGCAAAATTGTATCAAATTTGTCCTAAACAGTAGCTATAGAACTAAATAAAATTTTCTTTTTAAATTTGTTATTAGAGTTGTTTAAAAATCTTTGAATTATATTATGTTTTGCTATTCAAATCAAAATAAAGTTTTGTCAGCAATTAAATTGTGGCTTCAGAAGTGAATCAAATTCATGAGAAATCGACCCAATCTGATTAAAACACAGATCCTGTGTCCATGCTTCGCTTACAATGATACCGAAAACGCTCTTTTCGACCCTCTATTACATGTATTACGACCTTTCGAGATCCTCAGGTTTTCTTGTATTGATATACACCTTAAAAGTGGAGTGTGATTAATGAAAGTTTTCACAATATTTTATCATAAAATTGTTTTACAACTTTTCCATAAATGTGATAAAATACATGTATCTCTGCTGATTGTTTTCATAGCAATTTGAAGCATTGTGTTTATAGATATAAGAAGATGTGGTATGAGTGCCAATGAGACAACTCTCCATCCAAGTCACAATTTGTAAAAGTAAACCTTTGTAGGTCAAAGTACGGCCTTCAATACGGAGCCTTTGCTCACACCGAACGGCAAGCTATAAAGGGCCCCAAAAATGACTATTGTAAAACCATTCAAACAGGAAAACCAACGGTCTAATATATAAAAAACGAGAAACGAGAAACACTTATTAACCACACCAACAAACGACAACCAATGAACAGCAGGTTTCTGACTTAGGACAGGTGCAAACAAATGCAGCGGGTTTAAACGTTTTAATAGGCGCCAACCTTCACCCTACCTTAAAAATAGCGTATCATCACAACATAGAAATACACACTATGAAATATCAATTGAAACGGCTTAAATCAATCAAAAGACATATTAACAAAAACAAGTGAACATACACTGAACGAATAAATTTGCCATGTTTACGTATGATTATTATTTTGAATATTTTTTTAAGTACAATTTTTTCTTAAAAAAAAACAGTGACACATTACTCATTTAGTAACTGGTATAACTGACACTAATGAAAATATCTGTTGTCTTATATTCAAATTGTAAATAAGATTCTATGATGATTTCAATGTCCGTTTTGTAATGCATGATCCTATATCATTCATACAAGAATGACATTCCTAAAATAATTCAAGATTTTTTAATGTGATTATATTACTGTCCAAAACTATTATACCATTCTTGGATTTATTACAATGTTCACCACCTGCTTCAATTTGATTTGATAAAACTGTAGTTTGAAAATTGAAACTAGTGAGGGTACGGTCATTATTAAGGAATATTTACAACAGCAATCATTGTGTGTGTAGAAATACATATATCATACTACAGAAAAAACTGTATTTTTTAAACAACAAAAATATAATATATCTCAAACCAATTTTCCATCTCCTGACAGATGCAGAAAATCCTATACTCAGCATATTTCCAGAAAAGCTGTTGACTATCCCTTGAATGATATTGTTTGAAAAATCAAAGCTTTTCTGTTGACAAAAAAGTACAAGGATTGCTCTCTTAGACAGTTATATTAAAAATACGCATGATTTGTATTATTTCTGATTAAACATGGAAACCACAGTGCTTCGCGAAAGGATCATTTTTGTGAATTTAATGTTAAAGCAAATTCTTATAAAACTAGGAGATTGTTCATCCTTTATTCGATGTCCATGAATGTTCCATCCGGCTTCAGTCTATATACACCTTTATCCTTAACAACAACGTAAATGTAACCAAGGTTGTCAACTGCTAAGTTCCATAGAGTATCGTTATCTGGTGTGGAATATGTATAAACTTCTGTACCATCGCCTCTTATACAACTCAGGACGTCTGTTTAGTGCAATAGATGTTCCCAGTTTTATCCAAAGAAATAAACCAAGATGGCAACTTCTCTTTTTTGGTTTTTATTGACCAAATTAATCTTCCTACAAGATCCAGAATGTTAATGTTCCTTTTTGTTCCAACATATATGTTTTTATTTGCCACAGCAACGCCTCCCTGGTCACTTTCCTTTACTGACACGGTTCTAGAAATGTTTTTCTTATCAAAGTCAACAAACTGAAGACTTCTTCTTCATAAGATGTCAGAACACCTAAGTTTTTCCCTGGGATAAGAGCTCTATCCCAAGGTTGATGTTTGGTTTCTATTTGGTACCTGTAATTATCATTATGGTCATATACTAGTATTCTTCCCCTTCCAAAGTTGTCAACTAAGATGATTGCGTCATTCTCATTTACTGCCATTCCGGAAATAATTCCAGACTTCGTGTCTAAATCTCGTTTATGAAGAAAGTTTGGAAAACTGTGATGTTGAACAATTGGCATTTGGGATTGACATTTTTCCTTCTGAACAAATTTTACGGCAGAAGGTACTTCGCTTAGTTCTATTGACCCGATAGATTTAAAAGATGTCTTTAATCTCTCCGGTTTCAGCCGTATTGTAAATCTGGTTGACTTTTCTGTGATACCAGTTACTTTTTTCTCGAAATCAGTTAGATCTTGTTTGTACGCATGGGCAGCAATAAATGCTTGCTCCTCAGAACCATGTTTGTACACAAGATCAAACACATCTTTTTTGTCTTTCATCTTCTTTTCGATATCTTCTGTTTCACTAATTGTTGTCTTTGAATTTTGTATTATTGTGTCTTTTTTTCAGATCAAGGTCATATAGCAGTGACTTTTCTAGTGATTCAATATGACTGATTGCTTCTTCTTTTATTTTCCTTACAGCCATTTTGACTGAATTTTCTTCCTTTACGATATTTTCAACAAATTTCTTTTCGTCTTTAGCAATTGCATGTGCTGTTTCTAAAACATAGCCTATAATTTCCATGGCATCTATAAATGACTGGGACTGCTTGGCCCCTTTAGATGCTATATCAACAGACATCACCTTTTGACAAGAGTGATGGTTTTCTGTTAAGCATACAAGATAGAACATCATGATCGATACAAAAATACTCAAATAGCATTTTACGGTGTTGGACACACACATTTTCTTCGATTTTTTTGTGCGTCGGCATTCTGTTGATATTTATGAGTTCGTGATGCTGAAGCATTTTCATGGAGCGATGGTTTTCAGTGCAGTCAGAGCATAGAGACTCTTCACAAAATACACACCAATGAATGGAAACGTTATTTCTGTCACGTTTTGTGCATTGTTCACACTTAACTTTCTTCATTTTCCTAAACAGAAAACAAAGTAAAAGAAATGGATGTTAACTTTTCATTTTAATTGTCGTGGATAGTGTAGGACTTTTTTGAAACTCATTTCAGAAAGCCTAATCTGCGTTTAAAACCACAATTGAATACGAAGTATTTCTCATTTGGGAAGTTTTGAGACATAATGAAGTTTAGTCAATATTAGGGTTTAGATGAACGTCGGTAGCATGTGTATCCTGCGAAACATTTGGGTTTATCATTATGATGCTGATAAGCCAACATAACACATGTAAAATAACAATTATGAAAATGTATTATGAACGAATTAGGAAAATATATTATGATTCATTCATATTTTCCCAGGTAAGAAGCTTAATTCTATTATATATTCATTTCTTAAAGAAAGTTATAATTTCTCCAAAACAACTAACGAAATTACACCATTATTTAAGGATAAATATTCCTCATAGAGCAAAGATTTTAAGATTTCCGGTCAATAGAAGAGTCCAAGCGTGCACTGAACAGGGATATGCTGAGCTGGAAATAGTCCAGGCCGTCATATCGTCTATAACAGCATGATCTAGCTAACCCAACTATCTCGAAGGAAGGGGTAACTTAACATTATCAACACTGATGGGTATACTAAAATCTCATTATTGCGAGAAGACAACAACAGAGTTATTTAAAGAACTGTGTAATTTATCCCAATCACCAAAAGAAAGTGCACACGAGTTCTTGGATCGGGCTCTAGACATCAGACAAAAAGTGATACTTGCATCTAAAACATAAAAGATGTACAACACAATAACAACTTCGTTGCCGTACTTTGACCTATAATTGTTAACTTTTTACAAATTGTGACTTGGATGGAGAGTTGTCTCATTGGCACTAATACCACATCTTCTTATTTCTATTTATAACGATAGGGGACATTTGAAAAGGGAAAGAGTTTGGCACTCACCAGAGTCAGATTATACTGGTATAATATGTTAAAAACAACTATGAATATTCATGCTTGAAACATATGATACCAAGATAAAGGGAAATTGAACCGATGCAATCTATTAAAACTACATTTCCGTTCGAACTAGTATCGATTGATTTTCTGCATCTAGAAGTTTTGGGCGAATCCCCACTCAGTCAAAATTTCATAATCGATAATAGGACACAAATGATAAAACTACAGATCAGACAGCATACTGGTATCTAAAGAATTACGATCGCAAAAAACATGTAGCTAGTGAGTAAACACATCAACACATCGAATCAGTCAACTTTATTCGTGATGGTGGCCGTAGAACTATTAAGTTTCGATTTCATTGGTTTTTCATCATAACTCTGTTTGGGCAGTTTTATTGTGTAAGGAGCGCACCCTTTATATATTGCCATTGTTTGTTGTTTAAAAATCGCTAATAGTTGACTATTAATCTTCAGTGCAACGAAGCAGTTGTTTTGCCCCCCAAGGGATATAACTTCAAATTATAACTTAAGATGAAAAAAGAGAGAGAAATGCAAAAAGGGCATTCGAAAATCAAAAGTCCAATAGAAGCAAGATCGGCAAAAAATAATAACGACAAAAGGACATACAACAATATGAATAACCTTACCTTAATATTTATCAACTACAAATATCGCTACCGGAAGGAAAAAACAACAAACTTTTAGGTATGGTCTATATCTAAAATTAGAAAAAAAATATACGAAGTTTGCCCAGTTGTCATTCTTTGTTATTCATAATGTTGCGAGTGAATAATGCGAAGAATGGGTCTAGTCTTAGTCCTCAAACAGATGTTTTTCTTTGCAGCAAATGATTATTAGGTTAGTACATGTATTTTAATAAACAACATCAACAATCTATTTTAAAATAAGAACCCATAATATTCCCTTTTCATTCAAAAATCTATTTAATAAGAAGATTTATAGGTTTTGTGCGTTTCTGATGCTGGCAAATTTAGAAAAAGCTTCAGACGCACCAAAAAGGTTTAGTGCTGATTTTCCCTGAATTTATTTCACATTTTGACATTTTTATAAGGGTTTTCAATCTTAATTCAAATTCATGGTACATATAGGACAGCCAAATGTGGCTTGTTTTTAAACAGATCACCAACTAATACATCAAACCCAAAACGCAAATTTGACAGATTTTGAAGGATATCGTTAATCAAAATACAAACTATGTCGAAAGTAAAGCTGTGAATTTTTCGGATACAAATTATCTAATTTTGGTTAACGATATACCGCGCGACTTTCATCGATGCATTATTTTTCAGAAGCATACATGTACAATTTGCATTTTATATCATTCAATTTGCCTCAAATAGCAACAATTCAATAAAATATGGTTGTTGTTGGTTCATGTTAATCAAATTTTTATATTTTTTTTTCGTAAATTGAATAGTTATGTTTACTCGTTTGAATGGTTTTACAGTTTTCTAGGAGCGTTTTTATAGATGAGTACATGTTTTGGCTTTTTTCGTATAACTTAAGCAAAAACTTCATTAACTTATCACTACAAGACAACACTTTACATAGTATTAAATTCATAATTCTTGAAATAAGTCACTAGAAATGGCTATACAGATATCAACTGTTCGTTGTCTAACAAAACCAATTTAGTTGAATGTTCAAGATACATTACATTTAAATCAACCTCAACTTAGTACAATTATTTGTGTTTTCTTATTTGGTGAATAATATACTTTATTTATCTTTTTCTGTTAAGTTGAGGATAACGAATATAATTGTTAACAAATAGAACTGACAATAATCAATATATATATTTATGTGCGGTTCGCGTATGATTTTTGAATATGTAATTAATTCTATTGTGTTTTCACAATAGTTGTAAACCGGTGTTGGCAGTCGGTATATAAAGAAAGTTTGCACGAGATTTAGTTATCGAGGTTTGGACACTGACCATTGTCGTACGTTTGCTTAGTATTGAAGTCTAACTTTCATTTAGAATTCTGTTTTATACTGTATTGAAGTTGTATGTACAGAATTAAAATGTTTTGTATATATTTTGTAGATGCTTGATTGCAGTCTTTTATTGTTGATCAGATTGAGATTTTGTGATGTTTATAAGAGACGTTTTTTTGTAGATGTGCATGATTACCGTTATTCAAAATATGTACTGTTTGAAAATTAGTTTTGATAAGATATTGTGATCTCTGGATCTTGTTTTTATAAAAAATCGAGATGGTCATTGCGCCTTACAGTACCTAACTATGTATTTAGTTTTCTATTATTCCTTTATCGTATGAAGGTATACATATCTGAATGTGCTCAGGTATGTATGCTATACAAAAATCAAGAGAAATTTATCACATAAATACTTGATGTTCGTTTGAACATAGTGAATTTAGAACATAATGCGTGGTATGACAAAGATATTGTATACGCAATTGCATATCAATATTATCAAATTTACCTTAATCTTTATCAATTTCATATATGGCTACCCGGAAAGAAAAAACAACTAACCTTTTACCTTTCTGGTATGGTCTATATCTAAAAATAAATAAATAAAAACAATTATACAAAGTTTTTCAAGTTGTCGTTCTTTCGTTTTATAGTTTTTCAAGTGTCTTAACAGTCTAACTATTAATAAGGTAAATTAAGCAAAGGATTTTTTCTTTGTGCAAATGATTCAGTATGTTAGTATATGTATAAACAACATATAAAATCTATTCAAAATATAAAATATCATCAATATGGTATCCTAAACATTTTGAGGTTCACAAGAACCCATGTTATTCCTTTTTTCACAAACAAAATTAATTTAATATAAATATAGAATTGAGAATGGAAACGGGGAATGTGTCAAAGAGACAACAACCCGACCAAAAAGGCAGAAAACAGCACACGACCACCAATGGGTCTTCAACACAGCGAGAAAATCCCGCACTCGTATGTATGTATGTACACGTTTTAAGCGTGTCTGATGATAAATCTAGAAAAAGCTTAAGACGCACCAAAGAAGTAGTGCCAATTTCCAGAATTGTTTTCATATTGGCCGTTTTCAAAACGATTTTCCATCTTTACTTAAATTCGTAGTATCACAGCCAAATGTGACTTATTGATAGAGATCAACAATTTATACATGTACACGCCTAAAGAAAGCCCACCCTATAATGACACAAGGCGTTTCAAATAATGAATTGATTCTTTTTTGCAAAAAAAAACGTACAGAAATATAAAAGAAGCACAACACAAAAAAAAAGCACAGCCACAATTAGTTTACGTTACTAAACCAGTCCAGGCAAAGAGCTGCAAACTATCTTAGTAAGAGCTGTAAAATGGTACAAAACCCTATCAAAAAGATACAAATCAAGGTAACATACAAACTTGAGGGAATAGCATGAACTTCAGAAGGAGGTAGACTGATTGCATCTCCTGCTATACATGCATCAATAGCCATGCGAATTCACACTCAGTGAAAATGTCACAATAGGGGACAGAACACAATCGGTTAAATGCAGATCAGACGACGATACCGGTATCTTAAGATCTAAGAGAGAGGTGAAAGTTATCAAAGAGAGAGTTGAAAGATACCAAAGAAAGAGGTGAAAGATACCAAAGGAATATTCAAATTCATAAATCGAAAATAAACTGACAATGCCATGGCAAAAAAAAGACCAAAAGATAAACAACAGTACACAAAACACAACATAGAAATCAAAAGACTGTGCAATACGAACCCTACCAAATACCAGGGTTACAAAAACATGG